TTTTTTTATAATACTTACTTACATACTTGTACTATTCATATGGACCATAATAGAAATAGATATTAGAGAGTAGTAGAAGATTTAACGTATATTGTTGAGAAATTTATAAATTAAGTAGGTACGTCATAATTTTCAGGATTACAGAACAAAAAAAAAAAAAAATTTTTTTAGCTTTATTTTTTAATTAAAAATAATTCAAGAAAAATTTAAAGTTGACAATAAATTTTAACTAGAAATTATTTTAATAAATATGTATGTATGTAATTTTTAATAAGAAAGAGTAACCGCAATATTAAAAATATATATGTATGTACATACATAAGTACACTGCCAAAGAGGAAAATATTTAAGATGGAATCTAAGAAAATTTATTAAAGACCTTTAATATGTACTCTTTAAAATAAATAATTACATATGTGATTATGTCTTGTAAGCATTTACATATGAATGTAAACATGTGCGCAATATTATTGAAAAATTAAAATTGCATACATATATACATATTTATGTAGTTAAATTTTAAGGACATTCACCTTAATTCTCCAACCTTTAAAAATAAAACTTTTAAATTTATTACTTGATATATTAAAGATTTTTCATTAATATTCTGGATTTTTCTGGATATTTGTTTAATATTTACATTCTTACATAACATTTACATTATATACGTGTAAGTATATATGTATATATGTAAATAACATCAATGGTCAATATATTGATTGCTTTATATTTGTACGAACAATTTGTTTTTTTAAATTTTATAATCTACATACATACATGCCTATTATAATCTGTATAACTAAAAAAAAAAAAAAAAGCAAATATATGTATGTACATATATATTTTTATATTACCAACTTCTCACCTACATAACTATTCATATTATTACAATAATTTTTCGATAATATAATGAGATGAGTATCTAATTATTATTATAAAATAGCGCATTTCCTAAAAAGGACTTTTGTATACATTTATTATTTAAGTATGATACATATATAAAATGACATCCGGTATGTTTTTTAACTATATACATAAGAATATAATGTATGTATGTACATGTATGTATAACAGTATTGAAAATGTTTTTTTTTTTATAATTTTATTATGATTGTTTCTTATTCCTTGTTATTCAATTATTTTATTATGGATAATAATGTACACAATGTATGTACATACAAATATAGTTAGATAGTGTTGTTGAAATGTGCATAATATACTTTGTTATAATACAATATATTAATATGTATGTTTGTGCATTTTACAATCAGTGAGTAGATTTTATTTTGTTTTGTTTTTACATCTTTTTTTACAATGCAACTTTAAAATAGTGAGAAATTTTGAAAGGTTTTATAAACCAAAGAATATTGTTGTGCTGTTGTCTTTGATAAAAATAAAAATGTAGAATAAAATATTATAGAAAATTTATTTTTATAAGTACACGTGTTTGTAAACATGTTGTTAACGTATGCTTACACATAGTTGTTTTAATAAAATTTAAGTTAGTGGGAGTAATTTTTGTTTGTTTATTTTTTTTTTTTTTTTGATTTTTTAATTTTTTTTTGAATTATAGAATTTTTCTTTTATTATTTGCTTCCTTTTTATGTGTTATACATATTTATTTTTCTGGACTTTGAATTTATAGAGTGTATGTTGTACATACATACATACAAATATATCAAGTAGATTTGTAAATATGCGAATAATTAATAGTATTTTGTTTTGGTTTTTTTTCCTATAAGAATTCGATTAAAATAGTGTTAAATTTTATGTTTTAATCAAAACGCAGAATACCTCTGTTATTCATTTTCATTGTATGGATTTTGTAATGGAAATGGTCTCGCTGCACAGCTATAATTTAAAAACGGGTATTTTGACACTAATTATCGGCCTATCAACTGAGACTTACAGCTTAATATCTATAATGGATATTCGTTCAACAGAATTTATTCAAACCGATGTTTTTTTAAACCCTCCAAAACTATTCCCAAAGGAGGTCTGGGTTCCCTTTTCTCACCTATACGAATTTTTTTTTTTTTTTTTTAAACCAGACCATCCTGTAATATAGAAATATATAATAAGGATAAGTATAAGGATATTTTGTTAGGCTAACCAGTTAAGAGAGAAAATTAGTAATTATAGGGAAATTTGGAATGAGTTTCTATGGATGCTTTAAAATTTTCTGATTAATATACATAATATGTATATTATTGGTATATAAAAGCCAATATGTTATACATAATAATGTATTTAAAATAGTTTCGTTAAATTATATATGTATATATATAGATAAATATTATCATTATAATATAATGATAAAATGTTAATCAATATTCAAATATTGTATTTATGTATATATGTATATACATATATCTACATTCATATATGCCTACAAATTATTATTGTTATTGTATTTAAGCATATGCATCAATTTTTATGCTTTAAGAATATATAGAATAAAAAGGGTAGATAAGTAGTTTATAATCTGGTATGAATTTATAATATGAAAAAGGGATTTAATATAAATATTTTATAAGATAAAAATGAGAAGGAAAAAGCTTTATGAGAAAATATAATTTATAATTTAAGATTTTAAAGTGTGACAATAAAATTTATACATTATTATGAATAATATTTGTTATATAAATGTAGGTAGGTAGAAAACGAATACAAACTATTTTTATAATGACAGTAAATTAAATTTAAATATTGTACACTGAGAACAATATTCTAGCAATATTTCGAAATTTACTATTTTTCAGTAAATTCAGTTTTTAATGTGTGGTATGTTTGAAAATATCGAATTTTGACATAAAACAGATATTCTCTTAATACCGTAAGAGTACAAATCATAGAACAAATTAAATTGTAATTGCGTATTGTTATAAAAAAATAACGCAAAATTTTGACGATATACCAAGTTCCGTATTGTAAATTTCTGGATATTTTTTTGGAATTTTTTATCACCAATAAGTAGTATTACCCTAGTTTCGTATTTTAACTTAAAAAAATTAGCAATACGTTGACAATTTTAAGGAGTATATTGTAATAACACATATACATAGAAAATGTAGATTTACAATGTCAATTTAAAAAAAAAGGAAAAGTCAACGTCGAAAAATCAAAATTAGCATTTCGCAATTTAAAAAATAAATGTAAATGTCGAAAATTTCAAAATAAATGCAACGATTTAAAAGCGATTTTATTAAAAACTAAGCAATTAATTAAATAAAATAGCTTAACAATTAAATAACTTACCATAATTAGAAAATATCGCAATTAATTAAATTTTAGTTAACAAGTGTAACAAACTTCATGTTTTTTAACGTTTTTAAATTGAATATATAGTTTATTTGTTAAATTTAATCCAAACTAAAAAAAATTTTGCAATTTTAAATTGAAAAAAAACTAATTCTAATATTGTTATTGGTATAATGTTCATGAAAGAGTCAAAAAATAGGAAACATAAGGTAGTGAGCACAAAAAATTTACGTGATATTTTTTTTTTTAATAAAATTTAACACCATATTTTAGAAAATGAATTCAAGATGTACATATATAATGTCAATGCTTAATATAGTAATTAATAATTTTGATTTCTTATACTATAACTATTGTATTAAGGGTGCAACAATGTACATTTTGTTGTATACATATACATAGTTACTTACATATTAAATATAGCGAGAAAATTTCCTTTAAATAAAATAAATATGGTAAGGTGAAAGAAAATATAACAATAATAGCAATAATAATATAATGAGATGAAAATTGCGTGTAAAATTGCGTTTTTTTTTTTTGTATTCTATATATATTATATATAATATAATATGTATGTATGTATGAGAAATTAGAAGGAAGCTTTTTATGAAAATTATATTCATACCAATGTACATATATTTATTATAATAGAAAATTAATTTGTGTGGGTATATATAAATTACATATTGTAGGCACATATATGCACATATTATATATAATTATATTCAATAAATCCTTATATATCAAAATTATATATATATATATATATATATATATATATGTATATAAAATAATCATTATTATATGTATGTATGTAATAATCGAAATGAATGTTTGAAAAACCTTTAATTATATATAGTTTTTGGTGTCCAGGCATTTTTCAATTATAGTTCGCTGAAATTTAAGGTGGCATTTTGGTAATTGAATTACTATTATCATTACTATTTATTTTTTTTTCTATATTTTTTTTTTTTTGCATAAAACTTGTTATACACAAATATCAAAAAAAAAAAAAAATTTTATATATATTTTAATTTTAATATCAAAAAATATTTTATTTATTTTATTTTTTTTTTCTAACTTTTTTAATAAAAAAATGAATTTTATTTTTTTCTTTTCGAAATATTTTCCGAATTCGCCGAAATTTGAATAATTTTCGCGATTTTTTTTTTTAATATATTTTTTTAATATTTTCTTTTTTTTTTTTTGTTTTACATTTAATTATATGTATTTGTTAAATAAATACATTTTTTTTCCCATATAAATTTTATATGTACTCTCGTGTATAAGCACGAGAAATGCAAAAAACAAAAATATAAGAAAAACAAGAAAACTAAACATTAAAGGAATAAAAAAAAAACGCAAATTATTTATTAAAATACCTACAAAAACTTTTCTATATATCATAAAAAATATTATAACACATTATAACAGTTTTTACTAGCAAAAATAAAAAAAAAAAAACAAATTTCTGCATTTCACAATTATTATAGTTATAAATAATCACAGTATGAGAGAAAACGCGCGAAATCATTTCTCATATCATTTAATTTAATTTATAATTATTTAATTAAAATTTATTAATAAAAAAAAAAAAATTCTGTATTTTTTAAGAATAAAATATTTAGGTGCTTTATATAAGAACATTAATTTTTTAAAATTTATTATTAAAGTGCAAAAACCAAAAAAAAAAAAAAGATTATTAATAATTTTTCTTTTTTATTATTTTTCAATTACAGATTTCAATTATTCTTCATTGAATTAAATTTCTTAAAAAAAAAAAGAAAAACAAGAAAAAATGGGTGAAAGACCAAAGCGTCCACTATCTGCTTATATGTTATGGTTAAATGAAAACAGAGAATCGATTAAAAAAGAAAATCCAGGTATTAAAGTAACAGAGATAGCAAAAAGAGGTGGTGAATTATGGAGAGGAATGAAGGATAAAACAGTAAGTAACTCTTAAATATGTAAACTCTTAATTAATATGTAAATATTATAATATGAATTTTAAAAATTAATTAATTAATTACAAAAATACTATTATTAAAAATTGAATTTAAAAAACGAAAAACGGACATGCATAAAACAGTTTTGTTTTTCTGATTTTATTTTTTTTTTTGTATTTGTAGAATTTTTTTGTATATTTATAAATTGATTTGTGAAATAGTACAGTTGAAACAAAATTTCAATATTAAATTACGGTTTTTTTTTTTTTTACATATTTTTTTTTTTCTGTGCCCTTTAAAAGTTCAATGAACTATTTTTTTTTTTTTTTTAATCATTTTATATATCAATTATTGTCCAGGATGTTATAACGACATAAAGTACATATAATATGTTATATATTATTTGTTATACATATAAGTTGTATAACAAATGTATGTAAGTTCCTACATTCATATATATATGTATATATATATATGTGTATATGACATGGAATAATTGATAAATTTTATTTGTTCGATGATACCTACATACGTACATATATATTAAAAATTGCAAATATAATTTATATGTTTTGAACTTTCAGGATTTATTTTTTTTTTTTTCTCAATTTAAAGAGCACAACTTTAAGACACTTTAAAGGATATAATATAATATATTCGGTGTATGAAATTCGGTGATTTTGTTTTCTAATTCTAATTGATAAGTAATTAATTTAAATTGTTTTTGTAATTTTAATTTTATACATTTTATAATATTTTATGCAAAATAAATACATTGATATACGATTCCTTGTACTGAACCAGTGACCGACCATATGTGATATTCCATAATGTAATATTAAATTTTGTTGTTTGTTTATTGAAAAAGAAAACATGCCTTCTTTTCATACCTTTTCTATATTTGAAAAAGTGTTATTAATTTTTTTTTTAATACAATATTTTTATTGTTATACATTTTAATATGTACTCATTTAACACTGACTTATAATTGTGCAAATATAATGCGTTATAACTGGTTACGTTTGCATATTACGTTTGATTAAAATTGTAATATACAATGAGTGCGAACATAAATACTTAAGTGCGGACACAATTTTTTTATTGTATTTTCACTGCTCGGGTACCGGGCACGCACATTTTGAATTGATGATAAGTGCAATTATAATTTTTATAAATATATATTATAAATATATACGATTATTTAATTTAAGGATCTTTTTATTTATTTCGGTTTCTCAACCACAAAATTACAAAATTACTGAGACAAAACTTCAAATAAAATGAAATTCAAGAAAGTATTTAATTTAAATTATTGAATTATTTCTTTTTTCTTCGATTATAAATAAATATTAATTATTCTAATAAGAAATAATAAAAAAAAAAAAATAATTAAATATGTTAATAAAATATAATTCTTAATTTTTTTTTTCCCGAATTTCAGGAATGGGAAAATAAAGCTGCCAAAATGAAAGATGAATATACAAAAGCAATTAAAGAATATGAAGCTAATGGTGGTACAGATACTGGTGCAAGAAAACGCAAAAATAAGAAGGATAAACCAGCAAAGAAATCCAAAAAGAAGGAAACTTCAGAAGAAGAAGAAGAAGAAGAAAGCGATTAAGTTATTCACAATTTTAATAAAACAAACAAAACAAAAAAAAACAAAGTCCCAATCATATAAAAATAAGGATAATTAAAAAAAAAAAAACATTGAAAAAATTTCAAAGAAGAAGAAAAAACTATGAAAAGTTTTAAATATTAAAATAATACAAAACAAAATGTAATTTTAAAATCTTTGAAAAGAAAAAAAACAAAAACAAATTTAAAATTAAAAAAAAAAAAAATCAGATAACATTTTTCTTCGACGTTAACTAAAAAACAAAAAAAAAAAGTAGAAAAATAATTTCTTTGTTAATTAATTTTTCACATGCAGGATAAACAAAATTCAAATTTAATAAGAAATAAATAAAAAATATTAAATATAAACAATAAGTCCTTGTATAATTGTATTTTTTTTTTTCTTAATTTTATAATTTAAATTAATGTGTATGTACTTTATTTTTGTGTTTTTTTTTTTTTTTGCCAAAAAATGATCTTTGAAAATTAATTAAAATTAATTATAAACTACTATAAAAACGTAATTATTTGTCGTGCTAATATTATAAAATATAAAATAAAAAAAAAAAAAAAAATGAACACATATATAGTTTTATAAAACTTCAATTTTATTTTGTTTAATTGAAATCATAATTAAAATATCAATCATAAAATATATAAATTGATTTGATTTTATTTAATATTAAGTACCAAAAACAAAAAAAAAAAAAAAAACAAAACAAATATCAATTAAATATATTATTATTTTTTTTTTTTTAATAAATATAAATCTGATATACATAGGTAGAACATAAAAAAACAATGTTTTATAAACCAAATAATAAATAACAAATAAATAAAAAAATTAATTTTTTTTTTAAACTAAATTCAATAGTTTATATTTACATGATCCATTTATATTCTGTTGCACATCAGTATAGTATCACTTAAAGTTATCGGATTAGTATTTTTGAATTTTCAGTCTAAAATTTTAAACTTTAATATAATTTTATTCAGAAAATTAAAAGATTTTTTTTTGAATAATAATCCATCACGTAATGTAATACGATTAACAGAATATGATTGGATAATTTATAGCTGCTTCCCTCTCAACTGTACGTCATAATTGCTATTTAATTTCAATTTTAATTCATAAAGTACGAAATACAATGAAACAAAAAAAAATTCTGATTCAATACCGAATTAATAATCTTTTATAAATTCATATAGTTTTTTTTTAATTTATTGAAAATAATCTAGAATTTTTGAAAATATTGTTTAAATTTCTAAAATTTTTAGCGGATATTTAATTGAATTTTTTTAAATAACTTTAATTTAGAAATACAATATTCAATTTCAAGTGGCAATTTATTAAAAAAAAAAATTAAATAAAACAAATAAAAATACAATTTTATATTTAATATACAATAGGTAATTTTAAATGATTTTTCTTATATCCTTTTGTTTTTTTTTTTTTCTTAAAATTAAAATGAAGTGCAAGAAAATAGAAAAACAAAATTTTTATAATTTTACAATAAAAATGAAAACATCTTTAAAAAATATTTAAATATTTCAGTGAAAATTTTTTCTTTTTGATTTTATAGTTTTATGTATTAGAATTGAATAAAATTTATTTATTCATTAATTATAAAATAATTATTAAAATGATTAAATATTTACGATGACACAAGTTAAACGTGACACAATAATTAACTTTTATGTTACGATTTTATATTAAAAGTCATTATACATTAATTTTAGTAGTCATTCTAGTAAAAAAAATAAAAAAAATAAAAAAGAATTTAAAATATTACATTAAACTGATCAAAACTATTATATATAAATATTAAAATATGTATGTATATATATATATAATTATAATATAAAAATTAGTATGTATATTTTAAATAAAATATACAAATATAAAAAATTAATTAAAAATTTCATTAAAAAAAAAAAAAAATACCCATTTAAGTCTAAGTAATAAAATAATGTACAACGACGAACTACATATAGTTATATAACATAATAATGTAAATATTATCTTATTTCAAAAGATAATAAAATACTAATAATATATATATATATATTTATTATAGTATATATATATATACATAGATAATGAATGTAATTGTATATTGTATAATAATTGATTGGTTAAATGTGATTTCTCATACAAATCCAATAACGTAAATCTATGACTTGAAAATTGCAGTAATATTTGTAAATTGCGCAGTATCACTTTTGATATCCGGCTGGACTAAGACCTTTCAAATAAAAATATTGAATGACATAACGATGATCAATTTTATTCATATTAAAAATTTACTAAAAAAGCTTCACTATTAATAGTCGGTAATCTGAAAAGAACAAAAAAACAAACAAAAATAAAAGTGTGACAGTTAATTCTTAAAATGATAGGGCTTTCTGCCAGGCTTAATTTTTGTGTTTTCTTTTCTGTCAGGCAATCTGTTTTTTTAATATCTGTCAATTGTAGTAATTTTGAAGTCAGGCAATTTGTATTCTTAAAAGTGCATACTTAAATATATTATTATGTATGATTTTTTATTTTTTTTTTTTTTTATATTTTAAATAATTTTTTTTATTACTATATTATTCTTAAAAAGTTTTGAATTTTTTTCTTTAAAAAGTTTAGTGATATAAAATGTGTGTTTATTTTTAATTTTTTATTTTTTTCTTATTCTTCAAATTTATTTTTGAATTTATTTTAATATTGCAATATTTTTGTACCATTCAATTTTTTTTTTTTTTTCATCTTAATTACATATTTAATTTTAATATAAATTAATTAAAATATTATTTTAATTAATTGATTTTTTTATTTTCGTTTGGATTTCTATAAAATTAATAATTTATATAACAAATACATAGAGGCCTTTCATCATTGCTGAAATTGTAAATTTTTTTTGTCACTAATTTTTCCTTTATTCATAGTTTTGTGACAATGGTGACTGGGTCCATAATTAAATATTTACAAGTATTTTTTTTTAAAATGCTTTATTATAATAGAATTACAATAATAATAATAATAATAGTAATGATAATAGCATTAATAAATAAATCTTGATTGATTAATTGTGAAGGTAGGGAATAAGTTACCATTTTATATTTTTTGCTATCCAATATTTTAACAATAGAAAAAAAAAATTTAAAATTATTTTAAATGATTGGGAACGCTATTCTTTAAATAGTTTATACTTATATGTATATTTACATACCTACATATATATATATATATATATATATATATATATATATATATATACAATTTTTTTTTTAAGATCTTCTATACTAAAAATAAAAATATTTTTAATTTGATTATTTTAAAACAAAAAATAAAACTATAAATGTACATTTTTTTTTTAAATAAAAAAAAAATAAATTAATTTTTAATAAGATTTTTAAGAAAATGATTAAATTGCATATTTAGAAAACAAAAATATTGAGCCCATACTTCAAAAACAAAAAAAAAAATTAAATAATTTAAAAAAGAAAGCATTTAAATATCGGGAAAGAATCTATTGAATAATTTGGGAGTAATTTATGAAAAGTTAAATAAAATTTTGGAATATATAGAGAGGTGCCTGTCATAATTGTTTTTATTATTCACATTTTTGTGTGTTAAACAATCTCATACATTTTTGATGTCATAAATTTATAAATAAATTATCAAAAATACCACAGTTACTGTTTTTGTAATTATGTGGAAAAAAAATTTGGTGTTCCCCATTCGGTATCACAGGAGTTTTGAAAGGTATTTTTTGTCTTTCACTGATTTTTATTTACTTTTTTTTTGTGACAATGATGACAGGGCGGACCAGAAAAATTTATTAAAAAATTTTTCAATTTACACACTTTAAGTAAAATTTCATCTTGTTTTATAATGTAAAAATTTGAATTGATTTGATATTTTCATCACCCAAAATTTTTCCAATTGTATTAGTAAATTAAATTAATATTTATATTTAATTTAAATTGAAAAAAAAAATACAAAAAAAAAACAAATATAATGTGCAAGGTTCATGAAAATTTACAAATTTTAAATATTTAAAAAAAAAAACAAAACTTATAAAAAACTGTAGATTTAAAAAAAAAAAAAAATTAAATAGAAAATAAAACCATATAGAAAACCAAAACAAAAATAATTTGTATGAATGCGTTTCTAAAAAATGAATACGTATGAATTGTATATACATATATATATATATATATATATATATACATTAATACATACACAAACTTTAATATTACTTACATGTTTCGTCGTCGTTTCATTTTTGATTTTTTTTTTTTTTTATATAATATAAAAAAACAATTATTTGTTTTTCTTCGAAAACTTAACATTAAAAATACAATTTAAAAAAGTAATATATATAATATATAAATATACATATATATGTATATATATATATATATATATATTTAATAATAGTACATTATATGTATTAAAAAACAAAACAAAAAAAAAAAATTAAAAAATGATGATAAAAAAAAAATAATAAAAATTATAAAAAAACAAAAAATGATTTCAACAAAATTGTAAAAAAAAAAATTTAAAAACAATAAAAATTTATAAAAAAATAATTAATTGTATTATTTACTTATTATTATTTTTTTTTTTTTGAAAAAAAAATTTAATAATTACATTAAGCAGACAAAATACATCCCCGTTTTCGTAAATTTGCAAAAAATCTGCACAAAATTTGACTTGTAATGGCTGTAAACTTAAAATGGCAATTAAATGTTAAGTAATATTTTGACGATTCTCATTTAAGTCCTATACCTGACCACCATAAGTACCATGTTCCAAAATTTTAAAACATCCTTAGATGTCAAAGTACCTACGATTCGAATTACATTACTTTCACATTTAGTTTGCAAACAAGTAAAACCAAATAGATGGGAAATAAGAATAAAATCATTAGGTCATAATTTAAAATATCATTCAATTCGACTAGTTTATTCGACTCGTCAAGTAATTCGTTTCGCCGATCATAATAAGGATATTAGTTTGCAAATAGTAAAACCAAATAGAAGGGATATAAAATCAACAGGTTAATTGTGTTATATGGTTAATCATTCTAGGTATATACACTTACAATATATAATTATATGAGTTCTAATTAAAATTTAAAACTCTTTACAACTATGATTTAGTAATATGGTTTTTAAATTCAATGCATAACTCAATAATTCGTACCTACATACATAATATGTAAGCTGGATTGAATTTGGATACGGTATTGTTGTAGAATGTAGAACTCACAGAAGAACAATTTCAGCTTAAAAAAAAAAAAATCTATGCCAATTAAATATAACATAAAAACAATTTTGTCAAACTGTAATCAAGCTCAAATTTAATAAGTCGCCTTTAATAATTTTGTGTGGGGTATATAATATTATCCAAATACATTTGGAATAGAAAATTTTATCTTTAATTATAGACGATATTTGTAAATCATATAAAGACACTTACGTTTAAAAAATAAATATGCATATAAAAAAATTAAAGAAATCACACTTAAATTAAAGCTCTTGCTATTAATATTATGTTCATTTCGGAATTCTATATTTTCATATATAACAAATTCTTAAATATATAGATTTACATTTAAATGTACATCTTATATATTGTAATTAATATTATTATTATTATAAAGCATGAAATTTTGATGTTTTCTCTTGCGGTTTCAATAATTTTCTAAAATATATTACTGCTAACTAAACGTATGTATATTAATTAAAACATTGGGAAGCAAATTAAAATTTTAAAAATAAAAGAATTATTAAAATTTGTCATAATGAACCTTAGTATCTTTTTAGTATATTTTGTGTCGGACAACATTGTTTAACAGAAAATGTATTAACATAAACTAAAGTAAAAATATCATTGTGCATTAGCAAACAAGTTTTTGAGAAGATTAGAGAATATTTGGGCCTAATATTTGCAATTTTCGGAGATTGAATGTTATTTTAATTAAAATTGGACGCTTTACAATAACACTAACTCATAACTTGAGAATGATGAAGAAAAAAAAAACTGTTTCCTAATTTTTGTGCCGGATCTTGTTTTATCATCCTTTTTGAATATGAGCTTTTATGTGTCATTTTCTATTAAGTTTTGTTTACATTTCTATTCCAGCTGTTATTTATATTTTTTATATTATAACAATGCTAGTGATGTGCCTAAGAAACATTTTAATAATTGAACATTTAATATTAAGTTAATGGAAATTTCTTCATACAACTGCAGAGAATTAAAAACTTTTTCTCCTCGAACTGTACTCAAACCAGTGACCTACCACTTTCTAGGCGGACCGTCTACTAACTGAGCTACAGAGAACATTTAATATTGAAATCATTAAAATTTTGTAAAAATCGTTAATTATGTAAAAAAAAATATATATAATTTTTTTTTTTTCATTCAAGTACAATTTATTAGCGCTTTCCAAACTTAATTATTATTACATTTATTTATTTATTTATATAAATATTTTTATATTTGTATATATCGATAAATATTATATAAGATTACATTACAATATTATAGAATTTCTTATAAAATATATGATTTTTTGAAAAAAAAAGCTCAATATAATTATATTAAATTTCATCGTAAATAATTTAAGATTATAAGAATACTTTGAATAAAGCAGTTATATTGTATCAATATTTATTTTTTATAATAGAAGTAGCTTCTATATTCATCTTAAAATAATATATCTAATAGGGAGAAAAAAAAATTGCTGTATTAATTATATTTAAATATAATTCAGCTTATACAATGAATATTAAATAAAATAATAATAATAAAAAAAACAAAACTTAAACAGCCAAATTAAAAATACGAAATCATTTTCACTTATTAATTTCTTTAAACTAACTAGTTTTGGACGTTACTTAAATATTAATTTTTCAAAATTAAAATAATTAAATTAAAAAAGAAATTAAAAATATATATATATATTTTTTTTTAGTATACAATTACGTTTAAAACATGTAAAATTTAAATTAATTTTTCTTCTGTTTATTTTTGTATACAATTATTATCATTGTTTTCTTTAATTAGCCTTTATATACTTAAAATATTAAAAAAAAAAATTTTAATACATTTCATTTTTATAATTTTGTATAAATGTCTTAATAATATCAGGTAAATTTGATGCCCGGCAGATATGTTTATGACCTAATTTTAATGAGCTATCAAAACGATGAAATTCAATTGGACCCCATGAACGTCCTCTTAGATCTAATGCTATTCTGTAAAGCTTATAACCAAGATGGAATGGTACAACATAATCATCTTCAGCATGTAATATCATAACTGGCTGTCGAAATTCATTTATATGTTGATCTGATTCAAAACGTAATGAATTTGCATATAATGGATTTGCAATTGTATAATCAAACCATGGTAAAAATCTGAATAACTAAAAATATAAATATATATAAAATATATATATTAATTATTTAAAATAAATTTAAATAATAATTATACTTACAAATGCCATTGGATAACTTTTTAATTCATCACGTATATTTGTGAATGGACTTTCTAACATTAAACCTTTTGGTCCATATATATTCATTTGATTCATTTGAGCTAATAAATGTGTTGAAACACCAGTACCAAGGGAATGTGCCCATATAAATATTGGATTATTTGTTATATTTGATACATAATTATATACATTCATAGCATCTTTAACACAGCCTTCCTCTGATGGTGATATATTTTCTGAATCACCAAAACCTCTATAATCAATTGCAATAACATGATAACCCAATTTTTGAAATACATGATACATTTCAATACGATGATCTTTACAACGTGTACCAGAATTACCATGTAAATATATTATAACAATACCTGGTTGTTTTAACATTTTCTCATAAAATAATTGTTCATTATCTTTTGTAATACCATTTGAAAATTCTAAATGAATTTTTTCTTCATTTTTATCTAATTCTGGATCAGATATTTCTGTTGAATTTAATATATCTTTAATAGCATCCTTAAAAAAAAAAATTATAAGAACAGAATAAATAATTTATTAAAATTGTAATAAATAGAAATTTATTACTAACATTATTTAAATTTAATTCTTTTGAAAATTTTTTTGCTATTTGAATTGGTAATAAATGCCATGCACCCAATTTAACTTCTTCAACTTCATCATCAACATCTGAATCTTTTGTTTTGATATAAAAATTTCTAGTTGCATATAATCCATATGTGCTAGGATTATGAAAATCACAGTCTTGTAAAACTGAAAACAAAAATCATAAGAGTTTACATGAATAAAACATTAAAATTACAAAATTTTTTCTAAATATTTTTGAATTTTGTAGGAACTTGTAAAAATGTAGGAACTTCATTAGCATTTTTTCAAAAAATATTAAAATTTATATATTTTATTTTTATTTTAAATAATACTGGGAGAAATGAAAAAATTACAAACTGTTTAATTGGTTAATTGCATGCGATCATACAGTTGCATCTGTATTCGCTTGAATATAACGCTATGGATAATACAAATAAGCAATCAAACAGTTGTAAAACTAAAAATTGCATGTCTGCCTGAAACTTTAACTGAGATTTCGATTATTATTTTTTATTACTGATTTTAGTTATTAATTTTTTTATTTTAATAAACTTACCAAATGTTAAAAAGAAAATTTTTCTTTGTAATCCAACCGAATGTTTGAATATGATTGGACCAATTACAAATACTACAACAAAAAATAGTAAACATATCTTTAATGTTATCAATGATATTCTGAAAAAAATAATATTAGAAAAAAGAAATTTTTATTATTAAAATTGAATTATTTTAATTATTTTTAAATGTATAACACATTTTTAAAGTAAAAATTTAAAATAAATAGAAAAAAAAAAAAAAATAAAAGTAACACTTAATAAATACAACAAAAATACATAATAATAATCTACACATTAAATATAAAATATAAAAACTAATTATGAATTTATTAAAATTATGGTAATTTTAAAATAAATTCTAATTAGGAACACTGACATGCTACACATTTAAAAAAGAATATTGAATTTTAAGACCCTTAAAATTAAATTAAAAATAATTCTGATTTACAATTCTATTTAATAAATTTCGCAAAATAATTATTAATTTACAAACTATATTAATTACTAATTATACTAAATTAATACTTTTATTGAAATCATGACTAAATCTAATAGGATGAATATTGTTTTAGTCAATACTTTAGAGTTTAGACCTAAATTTATATTTTTAGAACAATTTTCATATTATTTGAAGGCGGAAAATTAATTAATTAGTAATTTCATGTTATAAAAAATTAAAATTAGCATGAACTCCAGGTTTCGTATTATATTTTGTTTTTATTAACTAGGATTTCAAATTTGTTTTTAGACAAAAATCTTATACAGAAGAAATCTGCTCCAGTGAATACAATTAAAATACGATCTATTCATTCTAGTACACAAGTTCACTATATTATTCAAATAAATTAAATTTGAAAGTAGTTTTGAAGGTTTTATTATTTTGGAGAATAATGAAATAATTTTTAACATAATTAATTAATTTTTAAATAAATATTTTCTCTTATATTTTTAAGAGTGACTTGGTCGGTTAACGTGATGTCGTTGTCCGAAGCCCATTATGAAGAAGATTGCGTATACAATTAATCGCTCACACAATTTATTTTGCAATACCAAATTCATTATTTATAACTCCTAATTTCAAATATTTTATACTTTTTAAAAAATTTCTCTTAAATTTTACTAAATGTTTTTTTCAACTATTTGTTTTCGGCATTTTAGAAAAAAAATTTGAGACCACTCTTCTATTTCATCGAAATTACAATTTAAATGAACACAAATATTGCTCCTTTTTTTTTAACTCAATAAGAAAAGTGCTCCGTTATAATGAGAGAAAGAAAAAGTAAAAATCATAAAAAAAAAAAAATTAAGTTTTGTTAAATTTGTTCACTAATCACTACTTTATGGCTCTCTCTAAAAATTCTTTTTCACAGTGAAAGGCAGCCATTACCATTGTTAAAATATTGTGTTTGTTTACTCAGCTGTGAAGTTCATTAAATAGACGTGCTCAATAGAGCAGATTTTTCCTGTTATTGTGTATATTTTATGTGATTGAGAATTATTTTACGATATTTATATGATATGACAAAATTTATTATGAATTTTTTCAAAATTATTTTAAAAAATATTTAATCAACTTTAATTACTTATATAACAATTCCGAAATATAAAATTATTAAATAAATAAATTTATATTTTCATTAATAAAATAAAATTAGAAAAAAATTTTCTTAATATCAAAAACACAATATTAACCCTTGTTGTCCTTACGTTATCCTTATAAATTTTAATAATTTTCACAAAATTTTTTTATTCTTAATTTTCAGTAATTCTTACTCACATTTTTTTATGGTTTTTTAAAAAAGTACACATTTTTTCTTGTTTTATTGTTATTTTTGCAAAAAAAAATTTTGCTTCTTTAAACCGCTTTCTTTTTCTAACCTCTTTTAAGGCTTAATGAGAACATAAAACTAATTTTTAACTAAACTTTTATTTCATAACTTTTGGTTTTTTATATTCTCAATGAAAATAAAATTATTTCGAATTTTTAAATTGTTGTTTGTAAAAATTGTTAATCGATAAATTTTGTGCAAATTTTTTGTAAGGCGGATGATAGACAATAAGTATAATTATAACATTATTCATAAAATTGAACTGAATTTAATAAAAATAAAAAAATTGTGTAAAAATTCTAGTATGACACAAGGAAATAGAAAACAAAAAAAAAAAACACTGTGTTTTTTTTTGTACTTAATCCAATTTTCCGTTCAGACTATCTAATTTAAAACTGTTCTACAGTATGTATATAACATGGTGGTTTGTATATTTCTGAATACTTAAATATCTAAATAATGGAAATGTTCAAGTACATATCGTAAAAATGATACCATAATATTTACAACAAACATGCAAAAAAAAAAAAAATAATTTGTGAAAATTTTATCATTATAAAAATGCACAAATTGTAATTATGAAAATTTCTCTCTCTTTCTCTTTTATACTTCGTTATGTGGTTGCTTTCGGATAATTGATATACGAATATTAAAAACGTGTAAATGTAAACGTGTAGACACGTTATCCCTATTTATTATATATAGTTTTATTAAAGTAAACAATAATATTGCATTTTTGCCGGTATAAATATATACATATACAGCTGCACTAACTATATGTACAGATTATATAAAATTGTTATAAATTTTGTCATTATATTTGTAAAGTTAATTGTGAATCAGTGGTCGTCTACCCTAATATTATTAATCGAACTAAGTTTTTTTTGTTTTTTAATAGAATAATAAAATAAGGCTATGATTGAATTTGAGTTTGCAGTTATGACTGTTACAGATCTTATTGTACATAGTTAAAACTGTACTACAATAGAATCACATATTACAGCATCGCTGCAAACAAAAACTCTGTTTGATTTATATTCTACACTAATTCAATTTTTTATCTATGTGAGTGCAAATTGTCTATATGAGAAGTGTGTAATTTGGATTGGGAAATTTCGTATTTTAGCCCATACGTTTGTTGCGGCAAAACCAGGAACTAATTTGAAATAAAAATACTAATATACTCAAAATTATTTATTTTTTTACAGTTTTCAATACTGAAATCTTCACACCATGCATCTAACAATTTTCTGTTCTATTCTTAAATTATATACATACTCGTAATTCTAAATCATAAGGCGACAAAATGAAATTTTAAAATTTAATAATTCCGTATTATTTTTTTTTTTTTCAAATACAATGGTGAAATGATATTTTTCATATACGATTATTTTACAGTTGACTCAATTTTAAATATTAATTACAAACCAAAAAAAAAAAATTTACATTATTCGTTACAGAATTTGTATGTTTGTATTTAAGTACATTTAAGTACATAAGTACTTAAATAGGCAGACAAAAATCAGGCACAAAGGTCGAATCTTACATAAAGTATAGGAAAACAAGATTGTTATGGTGAAGAGGAACAGATTAAAAAAATTTTAATATGGTACCTTTTTTTTTTTTTGTTTTCAAAAATTTAAGGTGTTAAAATATGACATTAAAAGCGTGTTGAATATTTTTTTTTTTGTATACCATTTGTACTCAATTTAAAATAATTTTAAGTGTAGGTATTTATGCATGAGAGAATAATATGGAAGAGTTAATTTTATGATTAGACATTTAGAATTATTTAAAAAACTGAAAATGTACAAGGGTAATTGAAAAAAATATTAGGTATGTAAGTACAAAATTTAGATGCAAAGTGATTTCAGTATTTGTGTGTAATTTAATTTTTCAATTGAATATCTACGCTAAATTGAATTCAGAAACAGAATATCTAAATATGTCAAAATCCAAATATGTCATTTATTATTGACTTGTCACTTATCAAAAAAATATTATACACATTTTTTTCTGCCCTGTTAAACGCTTATTACAATTTGTTCTTTTTTTTATTAAAATTGACAGCATAACTAAATATTTGTACATATACCTAATTTAAATTTTTGAACTTGTTTGACATTTTTTTGACACTAGTATCATAATACAAAATTTATAACTTTTTTTTAAAAAAAATTACACCCATTTTTTATTTCATAGTCAAATATTATTTACAAAATTACCTAGTAAAATGATGAAAATTGTTTTTAATATTACTAAGTGAAACCGAAAGTTTCGAAGTAATTTAGTGAACTTTTGAACTCTTTAATATTGTACAAGTAAGAATATAATAAAAAATGTAAAAAATTTATAATAATTCTGACGTAATTTTTTGTTGACACAAGCCCGTAATACGAAATTTACGTATTTCTATTAATTTTTGAATTCTCTGTGATAAATGCACTTTTTTGTGCTCTTAAATTATTACAAGACACTTACATTACAGTGTACAAAAATAAAAGCATTTAATATTCTCTCTCAAAATAAATTCATTGCGATTAATGAGTTAATGAAATTATTAAAATGTCAAAATTAATTGACAACAATGAATAAAATGTCATAATATTGATAGAAAATTTTTCGGCTTACATGTTTTTTGTCGAATACGAGTGACGTTTTGCATATTATTCAGAATTTTTAATAAGTTAAAAAAAAAAATAGTCGCTTGCTGACAAATTGTTTTTTGTTTTAAAATAATTTATAAAATTAATATTACTGTCTGAACGGAAAATTTGAATTATGTATTTGAAAAAATAAAAATTTGCATTTTTATCAGATTAATAATAAATTTTTATAAGTATGTAAACAAATGTAAATATGCGTGTATAATATTAAATTAATTGACAAGATTATAAAGATTAAATTAATTCAAATAGAATGTTGTAATAATTATGACTGTTCAATTTTTTGTTTTCGTAATTTTATTCTTATTTTTGCCGACTTGTAATGTACACGTTTTTTTATTCATTTTTACAACAAAATTTTAAGTCTATAAATAACTTAATTTATATTATCGTAAAAATGTTTTTTTTTGTTTTCTAATTTTTTTTTTTGCGCAAATGCAAGCAAATTTGATTTGTTAATAAATTATTTGAAAATTAGCCAGAAAATTAATTTTTTTTTTAGTAAATTATAAAAGAGAAAGAGCAATAATAACAATTTTTCGGCAAATTTATCACCACAAAATTTTTTTAATTAATTTATTATCGTAATTTACTGCATATTATTTAAAAAATAATAAATTTTAATTTATATATTAAGAAATTACACTTATTATGAAATTAAATGACAAAATTTTTAATTAAAAAATTAGTAAAGAAAATTTATATTTTATAATATTTAAAATATACTATTAAATTTATATGAATATTAAAAAAAAAAAATAAATATTAAAATTAAAATTTTTAATCTAAAATACAATTTAACAACTTTTATTCTAACTAGTTTAGTTGCCGGTATAAAACTAATTAAATAAATAATTATTTACACACTTTTTATAATTCCATAATATAAGAATAAAGATTAAGAATAAAGCTTACATATATTTACTCACAAATTGAGAATTAAATTAGAAAAACGAAAATAGACAAAAAAAAAGACTAAATAAAATGTTATGTAATTGTTCTGACAATTTTGACCTCTCATAATGAAAACCAAATTTTATACGACCTTCTCATAATAGGGGTTGTATTTATAATTACTTTCATATATTAAAATTTGAGAGAAATTACTTTCAACTAACATCATAATTCCAAAAAAAAATTATATTATTATGAGAAGAAATATTAAGAGAGTGTGAAAATTTTAATTTCAAATGTTAATTAATAATCTATTAATTGACATTTTTAAAATTGGCAATTTCATTTTGGTTGATAGTTTGAAATATTTGAGATTTTAAAATTTTTATAATTAAAGTATGAAAAAAAATAATTAATTTCTTGACCAAAAACCTTATAATAAGAGCTTAAAGAAAAGTAATACATACAACCTTTTTAAAAATTAAAAAGGCCAAATGTCAAAAATCAAATTGTATTATTCAAATTTAAAAAGGCAAAAGCAATTAATTTAAGTACATACTTATGTATTTATAGTATTATAATAATAATTATGACTTTTCTTACATAATAAATTTTCTTACATAATATTTTATGACTAAGAATAATAAAAATTGACATTAAACCAAAAATATATACGCTATAATATTTTATTTAAATTGATAGAATCATACAACACAATTCGTAGGCTAGTTAAATATACAATAAAACCTTAAAGGTCCAATAAGTAAAAAAGAATTATATTGCGAGATATACTAAATTAACATATTTTTAGTGTTTACAGGTTTTCATTAAAAATTTAATATTACATAATAATTCGAATGAAATTATTAAGAAATATGGCAACAAGTAAAAATTGCTTATTAATAATTTTATGGTAACAAGCAAAAATCGCCTAAATTCAAACTCGCAAATATTCTTAATTTTATTTTTAAATTTAAAATTTAAGGGTTTGAAACTTATAACTCACCTATTTTACTCACCAATTGAAAAGAAAGTGAGTTGCTGTCTTATATTTGTATAATGTAATTTTCGATTGAGAAGAATTTTTTCGTATTGTGTTTGTATATTTTATGAGATAATTTGAGAAAAAATGCAAAACTCACGAATACACATTTGTTTTTTAAATTTTAACAAGTTTTCATTGTTAACTGAATTTTCCTTTAAAATTATAGAATTTACAATTTTATATTGTTTAATTACTATACTTATTGCTTCATTTCATGCCCTCTTATTGTAAAACACTATTTCATAGGAGATAGAATGTCAAACGAAGTGTAAATGGTGCAAGAGTTGCCGCAGTAAATTTAATTAAATTAAAGCTAAATTTTTTTTTTCCTCAAAAAAAAATCTAAAGAATTAAAGAAGAATATTCTTTCATTTGTATAATTTGAGAATTTTTCTTTGTTAGATATTTTAATATAAAAATATAAAATATTATAAAAAATATAACAAAAGTGAAAAAACATAGATGCTAATAATAAAAGCAAGCATTTTTTCAATATATAAAAAAGCAAATAAAAAAGCAAATTAAAATGTAAGCAATAGGCAAATAAAAAAAATTTAATTCTTTTTCGATAAAACTAAACCATGCTTTTAATTTCGAATTAAAAAAAAAACTAAAAACAAGAAAGGCTTGAAAAATTAAAAAAAACACAAAAAATAATTTTAAAATTATATCAAGAAAAATTAATTAATTTTCTTCAATTTTTTTCAAAATTGTTTGCAAATAATTAAAATTTTTCATTCATCCAAATTATTAACAAAAAAAATTTACTTACAATCCATAAAGCCATGGTAAGAATAAAATTGCAGGATAAATAGAAACACGAAATAAACTGTTTATGAGTTTATGAACTTCGTACATTGTTTCCGTGTTTAATTAATTTTTTTATTTTTCAAATTTTGTTTTTTATTAGGCACGATAATCAATTAAAAAATTTTAAAGCGTTTTAAATTATGCAATGGAATAACTATAAAAATTCTATAAAAAAAAGTAAAAGGATTAAAAATTTTTTTTTCTTATTTTATAAGAACTGAATTATAATTCTTTTTTTTTCCTTCATTTTTTTTTGATTATTAATTAAAATTGTTGCAATATGATTAAGTGTTAGAAAAAGCACACCAAAACAAATGAAAACAATAAGAGTGTTAGAGCTTATTAGAATCACAAATTTCACTTAATTGCTAATGTAAAATTTTTAAAAATGAGAAAAAATAAATTTAGAATATAAAAGTAAATCTAGCACAATTGACCTGATCTGTTTTAAAAATTATTAAATTACAATATTATAAAAGCAAATGAAAAAAATTTTTGTTTAATTACAATAAATTTCAAGTCGCACACGGAACTGAGAAACGTGCAATGACTGACTGCAAATACTTAAAATATATCTGAAACTATCTAAAATATATACGCATATATACATATATATTATGTTATAAATTATAAAATAATTCTACTTAGAAATATCTTTTATATTAAACATTAACAGCATCAAAAAAATAACAAAATATTTACTATAAATTGTTTACTTTTTCTATTAAGACAATTTCGTCTTGTTAGTATCTCTTCTAAGATAATCAAGAAAAAAATTATTGTTAATATCAATAATAATATTCATAAATAGTAAATTTTACTGTGATTCTATTGTCATTATAAAAACAAACTAAATAAATTTTGGAAAAAAGTTTATAACTACTAAACAACTAATTTTTAGTTTTATTTGTAGTAATTAATTAAAATCACAAATTTCGTTTAATCTCTAATTTAAGATTATTTTATTATTTTGTAATAATAAAAATTATAATATATATATACAAAATAATTAATTGCATTATTTATTCCAAGATATTTTAAAATTAAAGCACATTCTGACTTTAAATAATAATTAAAATTACATTTTCTTGTATTGATCATATAAAATTTAACAGATATCTATAAATCATATTGATTAAATAAAAATGCTATTATTAAATTAATTTTAAATTAAATTTTTTCAATAAATTTCATTTCAATCGCATTTATTTTAGTTAAGTGTATTCTTAAAATATGTCCAAAATCAAAATTTACTTTAATTTTTTGACATAATTTCAATCTTTACTTTTCATACTATAAAAATTTAATTTAATTGCAAATAATTATATTTAATATGAATTAGTTGTGTTATACAAATTGCATACGAGTAACAACGACGTAATTAATCTTTAATTAATTTCACATAAAATTAAAATTTTATATACTTAATCCATTTATGATACTTTTAAAATCAAAACTTGATTACAACATAGAATTTGAATTTCTGTGCTTTACTAATTATAAAATTCACAATTCTATATTTGTTATATAAAATTTATACATAAATGCAACTTAAGAATTCAATATAAGTATGATAAATTAATTATTTATATATATGTGAAGTTTTTAATTAATTATTCATTCAATGTTAAATTTAGTTTTACTTGATCAACTTTACAAATCATAGCTTTGTATAATCATGGCTTAAATAATTTTTTTGCATAAAATATAAATAAGTATATAGTATATCATAAATATTGAAAATATTTGTATTTAAATTTTAAATACAATGCAAAAGAAAATTTTATAATTAACTACAATAAAAATTAATTAATATATAAATTTATATTCATCGAATAATTGAAAAATTTCTTTTAAATAATTAAATCTTTTATTTCGTTTTAATATTAATCTAACCATTTACTAAAATTTTTAATTTTAATCTAATATATAAAATTATTCAATGCTATTATTCATTATTTGCAATTAATATTAAATTTTTAAATTATAATATTTTTATTATTTAAATTTTATACGATCACACCATTTTTAAATACAATGAATTTATTGAAATTTTTTTAAATATATTTATATTTTTTATAATATATATTACAATTCATATATGTACAAATACATATTACATAAATAACTACATGTGTAATTATTTTTCAAGTACATATATAAATTATGCACATATTATTTTGAAATTAAATATAATGCAATTATTTTTAAATGTGTAGGTACCAAGTTAACGAAAGCTATACTTAAATTGATAAAAACCATTTTACCACAAATCATTAAATAATAATAATTTACATATAAAATTAAAATATTACTAATAATTATATTAGATTACAATATTATAATTTTAATTATAATACTTTTTTGCAATAGGGGCAAAAAAAAAAAAAAAAAGAATCATAATTTTCTATTCTAAACTTTTTTTACACATTTACTTTACATTTTATTCTAAATTATTTTAAAATATCATAGAAATTATTAAATAAATTTTAAAATTAAATTTTTTGAAAAAAAAAATAATTACTTAATTAATTTTACATAACTATGAATTTATTTTAAAATTAGAATAAGAAAAATAAAAAATTAAAATCACCTTTTAAATAACTTTCTCGGACGCGAAATAATCATTACTGTGTAATTATTTCAGAGATTTTTCTCCTAACAAAAAAAAAAATAAAAACCAAAAAAAAAAATGTAAAAATATATAAACAACAAACAAACTGCAAAATACAAAAAAAGAAAATAATACAAAAATTGAGTATTTAATTTTGTTTTATCTCATCTTATTAGTTAAAATATTATATGTAAGTTCTCTTTTGATCTGCTTTTAAGCTTTTTTTCAACTACTATAATAACAACAATCAAATAAATAATAATTATTTAATAAATATCCACAATAGTTGTATAGTCGCCAAGCTAGTAACTTTAATCAGAGGCGCTTATATATAGATATTATAAATGTACAAACTACCACAAACAGCAACAATATAATTCTTGTTTTTTTTTTTTATTTTTTTATGTTTTTGTTCTTTTTGAACTTGAACTACATTATTGTATGTATATACATAGATGTTATGTTATGTTTTCATTTTTATATTGTATCTTTCTTGCATAGTAGTAATATATTAATATATCTCTTTAATTTATTTTATCTCTTATAATCTTATCATTATCAATAATTGTCATGTTCTCATTGGTTTCTCTTAAAATTATAATTTTTAAATGAGGTTTTTTTTTATATTAAATTAATATTGTAATAAGATGTTTTTTTTTTTTTTTTCAACATTTTAGTATTATGTTATTAATATTTTCAATTATTATTAATTTATTAATTAATAATAATAATTAAAAATTATATGTAATTAATTAATACAACATAATAATTAATAATTAATTTATTTTTTGTATTTAATATTACTAAAGAGTATTACTACAACAATATTATTTTAACTTAACTTAGTAGCACTGTCATGCAATAATTCAAATGAGAAAAATTTATAATAATGTATTTTATATATTTTAAGAGAGAATAAATTAAAAATGTAGACTTGTTGTGAACTCTTAATTTTACTTTGAAGTACTATAATTATTTATTTTTTTTTGGTTCATTAATTTTTTTTTCTTTTATAATTTTATGCTAATTTATTGTGGTTTGTTAACTTTTCGCTAAAATTTTTTTCTTTTGTTTTTTAATTAAATTTAAATTTAGTTTAACTTTTATTTTCTAATGTGACACATATACAAAAAGTTTTAATATAATAATGGCAAGCAAATTGAATTTATTTTAAAATGTTTCCTTGTTTTTTTCAAATAATAAATTTTAATAATATTATAAAATTTAAGTAGATTCGATTGTTTGTATTTAATGTTTAAAAGCTTATTTTACAAAAAAAATCAATAGAGAATTTAAAATTTACCACCTTATAAATTGTGTAGTTATAATTTTTTTTTTTAAATATCCAACTTGCTTAGATTATATTGATATGTAGGTTAAGGTACTTAATTTTAATAACAAGATTTTTCGATAATTTACTATTACTTTTCGTTTACTAACTGAGGATTTTAACAAGTTTCGTTTCAACAACAGAAATAACAACAAAAATTAAAAAAACATGTAACCGATTCAAAATAAGAAAATTGACTGACTATCTAGAATTAATAAAATAATTATTTTACTGATGAATTTTTTTTTTGAATTTCCAATTTTTATATTATTTTTTTCTTATTTTTATTTTATTTTGTTATTCATTCATTTTTTTTTCTGTTTTCGGTTAACAATTAAGAAAATTTTTTATTAAAGTATAAAAGTTTGCAAAAAAAATATAATTATATAATTGAGATATAAACGGGTTTAGGATTAATAATTACAAATTTTTAGCTGTAAATATTTTAATAATTAGCAATTAGTCAATAACAAAAAAAAATATAGATATATGAATATTGTTGAAAATTTGGGGCGCAGATGAAATGTATACGTTCTTTGTACATGTGTCAATTGAGTATGATAAAATGAGAAATTAAAACTATGTATGTAGTTTAGAAAATATTGTTATAGAGATTGTGTCAATTAAGACTGTAATAGGTTAAAAGGGTTAAATAGAATATCAATTAATCATTTAAGTGTTTTTTTTTTCTTCGTTTTTTGAAAAGCTTATTTATTTTGTAAAAAAAGACGTGCTATTTATATGCTGTCTAGATTGGAAGTTGAATACCCCCTAGAAAATATATTTTTTAAATAGAAAATGATGAAAATTTATTCAGCAGTAATATTGCTGTTATTAAATTATTTCATATTTAATATTTATTTTAGTTGGATTTGAAAATTATAATTTATAGGAAACAATTTCTTAATTTAAGCGTTTACAACTGATTGTGTTTACAATTGTTTGCGTTTTAAAGGAAAAAAAAATAGAAAGGTGGTAGGTTTGATTGGTTGAAATGCAATTGTTATTATTTGAATCCAACTAACAGATAGGTCGAGTTGCATTATCATCCTGTTCTTGCAATCTTGTATATTATTACTTGTATACTGTAATAATCTTGTATACAAAATTATTTGAAAACTTAAGAAATTAAAGTTACATACATAAATAAAAAATTCATATTTAAAAATTACAATAAAGTTTATGAAATATTGATGCTTTTCTTTTCATGATGATTGACACAAATTAATAAAGTTTGTAAAAAATAGGCAATAGATTTTTAATATTTAATACAATATATTGTACTCAATTCATTTTTATGATAAAATCTTTATTGTTAACAATTTTATTTTATTTCTTTTTTTATTTATGGTGTACCGTATATTAATTAAATTATTTTTACTATTTGTTCTTTTGAATTGTTTAAATTTTATTTAATTGAAAATTGATAAAGCGTGAGATGACAAACAAAAATAACTTTAGTTATCAGATTGTACAGAACTTATATTTACTTAATTTATGTACGTATATATTATTAAATGAAAATAACAAAATAAAAAAGCTTTAATTGACATGGCATGCAATATAGAAAAAAATTGATTTTGTTTGTCTTACAAAATTTTTCAAAACAACAATATCTTTATGGTTAATTCAATTTTATTTTCAAAATTAATTTTTTATTTTTAGTTTCGGTTGTCTCTGGCTTTAATTTGTTTTTAAGAATTTTAAAAAGAATCATTTTATAAACGAACATAAAATAGTAATTTTAATAATTGGTTTTAAAAAGCTATAAATATTAAAAATTATTTTTAAATTTTTTGGTTATCATGCTATGAATGATAATGCAATCCGAAAAATATTTAATCAAATTATTTAATGTAAAAGAAAAGCAAAACTTTATAATTGGCAATATTAAATTAAAATATAATTAAATTATAATTAATAAAATGTAATTAATTTTTTTTTTTAATAATAAAAAAAATTCTATTTTTTGGTTTTTAATTCATAAATAACTAAAAATACCAAAATTTTGTTATTTCTAAAAATTTAATATAATAATTATTGTGCATATTTACGCGAAAAATCCAAATATTTGAAAATAAAAACAGAATGAAAAAATTCTAAATTATTAAACAAAAATATAATAAAAACTGGAAAATCAAATAATAAACTTAAAATTATTATAAAATTTTAAATGAATATAATATAAAATGTATAAAGCTTAATATATTTTTGTTTTAAAAACAATTTACTGAAAGTTTTATGATTATTTTTAAAAAATTATATTGAATTTTCTGATAATTAAGCAATTAATATTTTTATTATGTGTTTTCTGTTTGAAATTTCGTAATAAATGAATTTTTAATATTTTTGTAATTAAAATAGTAAATATTTTTAAAATTTAAAAGCCTACATATCTTCTTAAATCAAATTTCTTTTTAAAATCATAATTTTTACTTTCAAAAGCTACAGTGAAATATAAAATAAATAATTAATTTAATTGCAAATTAAATAATAATTCATATCAAATTTTCAAGGTTTTTAACAAAAAAATTTCAATAAGTATTATTATTATTATTTGTAGTGTAATGAATAATTTGAACATTTAATTTTTTATAATATGTTTTCTGATATTTTGTTAGGTCCTTAATGCATTTATTATAGTGATGAATATCAATAGCAATATAAACTAATTATAATAAGGTACATTGACTTGTTTTGTTAAAATTAAACATTATTTATAAAATTGTGATCAAAATATATTTATAAAATAATTATCTGTTATTTAAAATTTATTGTTAATAACAAATTAATAATTCCACTAAATAGGTGTATTATTTTAATAGTTATAGAAAGAAAAAATTTTTTATAAATTACTAATATTCCAATTAGTCATCGAATTATTTCAAGTCAATTATTTTTTGTTTTTAAAATATGAATTTTATTTTCTTAAAATTTTCAATAATAGTTTCCGTAATACCTTCAAAAAGTGTATTTTTTTTTGTTTTATTTGAAAGGGATTTGCCAATTTGATTTGATTTATTCAATCTGAAAATATTTTTCTTAAAATTTCATTTTTTTCCTTAAAATTTTTAAATTGATTCGAATTGAATTTTCATAATCAAACGCGCGTTCAATGTTTTATCTAAAAAAAAAAAAAACAAAAAATAATATTTAAAGGAGTTTAAAATTTGAGAATTAATTTCAAATTACAATTTAATAATTTTGTAAAATATTACAATTTTTTTTTTATTGCATCGTATTGAAAAATTGAAATTCTTTATTATAAAAAATATCATATTTTCTTATTTATTATCCGTATATGATATGAAAAATTGTGTAGTCCAGAAATTTGAGAGCTCTGCATGTGCTATTTATTTGCATGTGCATGAAACACATAATTTCAGCGTTGGTGTGTATCATCCATAAAAGAAATATTAATATTTTATTTTAATTAGAAAAAATTGTTAACTTTGCAAATATTTTATTTACAAAAAAAAAAAAAAGGTTTTCTTTTTTTTTGTTTAATTAACGAAATACAAGAAATTGTTTCTTTATATTTTTTATACCATTCATTTTTTTAACTTGAATTGCAAAAAAATTAAATGAAAAATCGCTGATTATACAGTAATATTAATAAAAAAAAAAATAACATGTTGAATTTCAATGAAATTTATCAATTTTTGGTAACGTAAGAAGTTCAAAATCGCGCATTTTTCCAGAAAACACAATGATATTCTTTTGTCACGCTCTTTTTTTCAAATCTGTTTATAAAACACGTTAACATTTGTTCTTTATTTATTTATGGAATCTAAAATTGAAAATTGAAATCATTAAATTTTTTTATTTATTTAAAAAAAAATTAATTTTATATAATTTGCAATTGCACGTAATTTTCTGATAAGAATAGAATTCTATAGTATTTTATTCATTTCGAATTCGGGTAAAGTTCAAATTCGAATTTGATTAATAATCCTAATTTATAATTAACTATTTAATTCTTTATCAATTTCAAATAAGTTTTTAAATCAATATTTATACATAATTAAAAATTATTTATTAAAAATCTATAATTTTCAAAAATCATGCAGTTACAGAACAAATCATTAAAAATATTATCAATTTTTATTAAAATATAAGAATGTGGTTTAGTTTTTGATTTTCTATTCTATTAGATTTTTAAGTTTTCTGTGTGTGTATGTGTGAATTTGTTTGTATATGTATTGAATATAAATTT